TCTTGGGTCTTGATTTTGCCGGCCAACAAGGAAAAGACTCGGTTCGAGCAAGCAGCAGCACGTTCGGTCACTACACATCTACACGTCTTTTTCCATGGGCTCTCCGCTCGGCTCTGCTGACGCGCCATTGGAACCTCCCTTTCCACCTTACACATCCTCCGAGCTCAGCAAACACGTCACCCTCTCACCGTCTCACCGACCCGTCAAGCCATCACCGCACCACACCACATCACCTCTATAAATACTCACGCTCGCACTCCACTACCAACCAAACCACCGTCGCAAACTCAGGCGCGACCTAACACCCATCATAGTTGACTTCTGCAGAGTTCAGTCGCAAAACTACACCAACGCCACCTTCAGTTCTCCGGAGCTCTGTGATGGCATCGTCGGTCCGGCGCCTTGCTCTCGCCGTGCTCGTGATCGTCGTCGTTCTGATCAGCGGCACGAGCCTTGTCGGCGCGGCGCGGCCGGGCGCGGCGCGGCCGGACCCGGCGGAGAGGAGCGGGGACGGTGGGGCTTACTTGGCGGTGTACCCGGCGGCGGAGAGACGGGAGATGCTCATGGCGAGGCTGCTGGCCGGGCCCAGCCGAAGGGGCGCCGGCCACTAGGTACAACGTACACGCGGAAGGGCAGCTTGGATCGGTTGATCGGGTTCAAGGTTTCGTAGACATGTGCATGAAGATGATTAGCGAATCCATTGGCCCTTCGCGTCATGCGAATTGCAGCTAGAGTGATTCTTTGATATATTTCTTTCTTCTATTCCCTTTTCTCGTTGGAAGTTGTTACTAGTGAGTACGGGAGATTGTATAAACTAGATGTATCATACCCGTTGTCATGGGAACCGGCTGCAATATACTTCAATGAGATTTAATTGTGTGAGATATAAATATTTAGGTTAATAACACGTGAATAAAAAAATACATCTTACTATATTTGAGTATGTATAGTTGTAAAATATTTGTTCAATATGAGTAGAATAATATAATGAAAAATATTTCTAAATGAATGATTGCATGTTGACGTGTCTTATACAATACATAATGGATATATGATGATGTGGCATGTTTGCATTTTGACCTACCGAAGCCAGCCAGAGCCCTGCACCCGAACGTGGAGAGAGAACAAGGAGAAGACGGGGTAGATCACCTCCAGATGAAGCAAAGGGCGTGGCTAGAGGTCAGGTGACTGACCTAAAATTTGTAAATTGTTCTCTGACCACCCAGCTCTCGCTCGCTGCTGGATGTATTCCGTTCCGCCGACGACATGAAAGAAGCTAGCTACCGATTGTATCCGCCGGAAGCATGAAACACACGAACGTCACGGTAACAGGTGTGTTACAAGCATATGTTAGTATGTTAGACGTATACTTATGCTGGTAGTCATTAGCTATACATGCGAACCAATTTGTGGTTGGATGGTTAGAGAGACTGTGCTATTCCTAGCCCACCAGGGTTTCAAATCCTAGTGCTTGCATTATTCCTGGATTTATTTCAGGATTTTCGGCGATGCGCATTCAGTGGGAGGAGACTTCCCGTCGACGATGAGGCGTCTATGGCGACTTCGTAAATCTCAAAATGATATGCCGGCTCAGTCTTTCAGAGGTGCTCATAGAGATAGGGTGTGCGTGTGCGCGTTCATAGGGGTGAGTGTGTGCACGTGTATATGAGCGCTTGTGTCTGTACTGATGTTCAAAAAAAAAATTAGCTACACATGATTTTTGTACTCTCATTTAGGCTGGCCCACCTAGGTTTTTCAACATCAAACTTTCACAGGCCTCCTTTGGTTTAGAGGAATCTTGTCGGAATTTTATAGGATAGGATTTCTATAGGAAAAATTTCTTTAGAGCCCTTTGGTTTGTAGGAATGGAATCCTATTCCTGTGAAGAAATTCTTCTTATCCTTCACATTTCATAGAAAAATAAACATTAGCCTAGACTCAATGAAAAAGAAATCCTATGATGTGAATCAAAGAGCATCTTCTTTCCCTATTCCTACTCATAGGATTTGAGATACATGTCTTCTTATTTTCTATGACTTTCCTATTCCTATGATTTTCCTATCCTATGAACCAAAAGAGGTCTAAAATTTGTCTCAGTGCAAGATACTACTCTCATAGCACACGCTACCTAGCTATAGTGGTATATTTTTTTCTTGAACAGATCCTAAAAACGACAGACAAGTGTTGGACTTCATAGATATGTCTTCTATGTGTAATTTTGATCGATCGATCCAATGCAACTTAATTATGATACAAGATATGTGTATATATGCGGAGTTAGAGTTCAATTAGAGGGTGTTTGTTTCCAAGGACTTAGGCCCTGTTTGTTTCATAAGTCATAGGACTTTTTTAAGTCCCAACTTATAAGTCATAAGTCCCTACCTGTTTGTTTACATCGACTTATAAGTCCCGAGTCCCTACATGTTTGTTTACAGGGACTTATAAGTCCGGGGCGACGGTCGGACGCAGGTGAGAGCCGCCTCGGCCTCCGATGTTCAGAGACTGGCTGCGGCCTCCTCCGCCCTGGGGCACGGGCCTCCCACGACCAGGTCCAACCGGAGGAAGGCCATGACCGGCCGACTGGTCGAAGATTTCCACCGGTGGATGAGCCTTCGGGTGCCTGTTGAGATTTCCACCGGCGGATGAGCCTTCGGGTGCCTGTTGAGACGAGGGGAATTGAGAGAAGAAGGGGATCGCGTCCTCCTCATCGGCCATGGCGGCGGCGGCGTTTGGGGCGAGGCAGGGAAGGAGCGAGGCAAGGAGGAGGGGAACGAGCGGGGCGGGGTTCGTGCGGGGCGATGCGGGGTAGGTGCGTCCAGATCGATAAGTCCCAATCAGAGGGTGTTTGTTTCCAGGGACTTATTGGTTTAGGGACTTAAAAAAGTCCCTATAAGTCCCATCTAAACCAAACAGGAGGGACTTATAGGGACTTATTGGGGTCACTTGGGACTTATCAGAAAAGACTCTCAGAGAGGAACTTATTGGGACTTATCGATCTGGACGCACCTACCCCGCATCGCCCCGCACGAACCCCGCCCCGCTCGTTCCCCTCCTCCTCGCCTCGCTCCTTCCCTGCCTCGCCCCAAACGCCGCCGCCGCCGGCACCCTCAACCGCCGCCGCCATGGCCGATGAGGAGGACACGATCCCCTTCTTCTCTCAATTCCCCTCGTCTCAACAGGCACCCGAAGGCTCATCCGCCGGTGGAAATCTCAACAGGCACCCGAAGGCTCATCCACCGGTGGAAATCTTCGACCAGTCGGCCGGTCATGGCCTTCCTCCGGTTGGACCTGGTCGTGGGAGGCCCGTGCCCCAGGGCGGAGGAGGCCGCAGCCGGTCTCTGAACATCGGAGGCCGAGGCGGCTCTCACCTGCGTCCGTTCATCGCCCCGGACTTATAAGTCCCTGTAAACAAACAGTAGGGACTTGGGACTTATAAGTCGATGTAAACAAACATGTAGGGACTTATGACTTATAAGTTGGGACTTAAAAAAGTCCTATGACTTATGAAACAAACAGGGCCTAAGTTCCTCTCTGAGAGTCTTTTCTGATAAGTCCCAAATGACCCCAATAAGTTCCTATAAGTCCCTCCTGTTTGGTTTAAATGGGACTTATAGGGACTTTTTTAAGTCCCTAAACCAATAAGTCCCTGGAAACAAACACCCTCTTATTGGTTTAGGGACTTAAAAAAGTTCCTATAAGTCTCATCTAAACCAAACAGGAGAGACTTATAGGGACTTAAAGTGCACATTTGGGACTTATGAAATAAGACTCTCAAGGAGGGACTTATAGGGACTTATAATTGTAATATGGTCTTTTAGTCCATATTAAGTACCAGGAACCAAACAGGTAGGGACTTTTTAAGAACTTGAGACTTATAAGTTGGGACTAAAAAAAGTTTTAGGACTTATGAACCAAACAGGACCTTAATCTTTGCATGAGGACGATGAGGAAAGGCATAGGTATGTGTATATATATGGAATTAGAGTTCAATTAATCTTCACATATTATGCAGTGTATAACATGTCTAGTTTTTTGTATGGAGATAATTAAATAAAAAGAAATCAAATAATGATGTTTTATAAGGAAAAATAAATTAGTGGCATTGATATTATCCATTAAGACAAAAGAAATAAAAAATAAAAACTTTGAACACAATTTACACGAAAATTGTGCTTTTATAATATATGAGAATAAGCATATAATAGTGCAATTTCGCAACAAAAAGTTTCCTAAGAACAAATGAATTAGTAGCTTCGGTATTACCCTTAAAGAAAATATTGGAAATAAAAACTAAAACTAAATCAAAATAATAAAGTTTTCTAAGAAAGAACAAATTAGTGACATTGGTTACCCTTCTAGAGGAAACAAAATGAGAAAAAAATTAATACGGTTTATACAGAAATCACACTTAAAGAAGAAACAAAATAAAAATAAAAAAATAGAATCAAAATAATGAAGTTTTCTATGAAAAAATGAACTAGTGGTACAAGTATTTTGGTATTACCTTTTAAGAAGAAAGAAAATGAAACAGTGAAAAGTCTACGCAGAAATTGCATTTTTAATAATATGCAATAATCATCATGTAATAGCAAACTTTCAATAAAAACATTTCCTTGAATTAGTGGCATTGTTATTACTGTTTAAGAAGAAAGAAAAGTATAAACATTAAAATAAATAGTGATAAATTGTGCACACAATTTGTATATATAAATTGTATGTCTTATAATATGGAAGAATAAACATATAATAAGGTCATTTTACACAAAAATAAAGTTTCCTAAGAAGAGATTAATTAGTGACATTGCCATTACCTTTATAGAAAAACAAAAAATAATATATATATATATATATATATATATATATATATATATATATATATAAATGAAGTTTTAGAGAAGGCGGAGAATTATTTGCATTAGTATTAACTTTTAAGAATAAATAAAATAAATAAATTGAAAAACTTGCATACAACTTTGCATGAAATTGCATCCTTTTAATATGCAAAAAATAAACATATAATAGTATAATTTTTACACTCTAATATAATTTAGACACATATTGTATGAACTTGCGTGTATACATTATACACTCACTCAACATCCCACAAATATCCATAAAATAACCAACTAAAATACGAATAAATAGAAGCGAAAAGGAATACAAACAAGCCAATAAGAAAACGCATGATGGGCTTCAGCTCAATAAGGAATCGACTGACCCAAAACAGTGGCCAGTCAAAACATTTCAGCCCAAAACATGACAGCACACCAAGAGAAAGGAAAAAAAAACAAAGATCAACTGCGATCAATTGGCAAAATTATCGACTGACCCAAATTAAAAAGGGATAATTAGTTTTATGCCCCTAATTGTGTCTCACTTGTCTATTTTATCCCTAATTTCCAAAAGCCATCGGTTTTGTCAAAGTCACCTTGCTCCTCTTATGCTTTTGCCCTTTGATCGTTTGACCGTCACTTTGAAAACTTCATAACTAATTCATACTACTAAATTAGAAAAATGCAAATAAGATACCGAAATGCTTGAAAAAAATATCACCTATGTGTCAATGTCATTTGCATTCATAACAAAAGTGTTGGAAAGTGCCCATCCGAGT